ATAAGTCTTGTAGGAATCACTAGAAAAAGACGTCTTAATCTATGTAATGTGCATTACCTAGACCAGGTGTGGCGAACCTTTATGCACCAACGAGCCATTTTTTTCTAAAAAAAATTTTAATGTTGTCATAGACGTGACGACAAATAGTTTTGATTTCGTGATTATAGCGTAAGTAATAATACTAAATACTATCAACTCAAAAGTATTACGAAATAAAATACATTTTGCAATGTCTCAGTTATACGCATACGCGTAATTCAACTTTAAGTAGCATCAATGTGACTTCTGTTGTTGCAGATTAGATGACAAATAACTTATATTAGGGTTATAAGATGTTAGTTTAAACAGAACTGTTAATTAGTTTGCTAGTTATTTATTGTTAGCTTGTTTTTTTATGGTTATTAATTGCTTTTTTGCCTTTTGTTCAGTTTTTTGTGAATTTTAATTTAATTGTTATTATTCTTCATATCGGAACTTCGTAATCGGTAGCGTGCCCAAAATATCGTGTCACGTGCCATAAATGGCACGCGTGCCATTGGTTCGCCATCCCTGACCTAGACTATAGATTGGAACTCGCTGAGAATGTCAAGTTTCTCGGAGTTTATTATGACTCCAAACTTAACTGGGGTTATCATCTAGAATACTGTATCAGCAGGGCCAAGAAGATTTTCTGGTCTTGCAGAAATGCTATTGGTAAAACTTGGGGATTATCCCCCAGGATAGTTTACTGGATATACTCAATGATTATTAGTCCTATCATATGGCACAATTGTCTGATGGTCTAGGACTAGGTTGAACTCCGTCAGGTCTATTCTCAACAGACTACAAAGAATGGTCTGCGTAGCCTTGTCAGGCTGTCTCAGGACCACTCCCACAGCTGCTCTAGAGAGCTTACTTGGGCTTCTCCCATTGAATCTACGCACTGAGGTTGAAGCTCAGACTGCTATTAAGCGTCTTATGTACCTTGGCTTATGGAAAGAATACTTCAAACACTTGTCATGGGGTTACCTTGTCTCATAAGTGGTGGATATTACCTCTGTTATTATGTCTAGTGATTACATGTCAGATAGGCTTTTCCTCCCTTCAAAAGTGAGTGATTATATGTCAGATAGGCTTTAAGCCATTCAAAATCATTTTTCCTACGAGAGATGAATGGCTTAAAGGCAAATGTCTAATATGATACACTGATGTTTCAAGGCTTGCTCCAATGATTGGTACCAAACTTCACTTTCCCTTAGGTAGTTATGCCATTATCTTGTGCTGCAAGATATGCTTAGACAGGGGATATCAAAATATGCCTGCTCTCCTATCACTATTAAGGTGTAAATTAACCTCTTTACTTGTGTGGGAGTGCTTCTTGGTCCTATGTGACCTCTCTACTCATAAAAAGATATACCTACATTGGGTACCTGGACATATGGGTATTCTTGGAAATGAGCTAGCTGATGAGGCAGCACGCACTGGCTTAAGTGCGATTTTCTAGGGCCCTGAACCAGCTTTGGGAATTTCTCCCACATCATTTAGGGCATCTATAGTCAAGCTCTATTGCAAAATTGCCCATGAGCAATGGCACAACACAGATGGTCAGAGACAGGCTAAGGAGATGAATCCTGACTGTCCCAGCGTATGTCAAAAAGAGCTTCTTAAGCTAAACAGGAACAGTTTGAGGAAGATCATTGGTCTTCTCACTGGACACTGCATCCTCACGAGACACCTATATGTAATGGGTAGTAAAACCATTCCTCTCCGTAGTGGTTCTCATTTTAGGAAGAGACTTCAAGACATATACTTTGTGATTGTGAGGTTTATTCTGCTCAAAGATTTCAGCATTTAGGACAACACTGCATTAAGGCCTGAGATGTGCAAAATGTTCCTGTAAGTTGTTTGCTGAATTTCATTTCAGCCATAAGGCTTTCTTTTTAATCATGATTTAGGGTTTGGGTACAATAGACCTCTGGTCTATGTGCCCTGCTCTTTGGAGCTGCACAATCTCTAAATCTATCTAATTTAAATATAATTTTGTTTAATTTATTGTATTTTTTAAATTATTAAATATTTCTTGATATCTAAACTACAGTAATAATTTTTTTCAATAAAATAAAAATGGTTAAAATAATATTTATAATTAAAACTGAATTCAAGACAAATATCCACAACTCGATATTTTAAAATGCTGGTACTATTAGTTTGTTATAAAAAGGTTCACTTGGTTTCATGTTTATACATTTAATAAGAATTAATTTTATAAGAACAAGCAATTAATAAGAAAAAGGTGGTTTTAACCTGTATTTGTCTGGCATTCAAATAGTGTTATCTGAAGTTGCCTTTTAACATGAATTTTGGTTAAATAATGATCAAGAAATATTAAATTCTTATTTCTTTTTAATACAGTAGGATAATAAACAATTCATACTCTTTTCAAATATTTCTGCCTGAAAAATTATTTTTAAATGTTCCATATTTTATTTTTAAAAATGCCATACTTTTTCCTGGAGCACTGTTTTGCAGTGTATTTTGAGAACCTCAGATTTAGATAATACTGGAATTGACAATTTGAATTATGACATAACATAAAATCAGAGACATAACTTGGGACTTCATAATAATGGTATTGCCTGTTAATTAGTTTTTTTTTCCTTTCAGTACCTCTGATGGAGCTTTTAGGTTTAGTCAACCTGGCTTATGTTTTATTTTGTCACCACCAAAATTTTGTCCGCTTTGCTTTTTATTTTAAAAAAATGATCAGTTTAGTTCTGCCAATTGTCTACTGAAATTAATAATTCTGTCATGGGAGCAACATGTCTCCAAACATGTTGTTTTATTATTTAACTTGTTATTAAGGAACAGGGATATATATTTTTTTTTTTACATGACCAATAATCATGTTAAACATATGCTCAGAAAAGTACATGTAATAAATGGATAAATATTTATTAACTGAAATAATAAATAAATTTTTTATTAATAAGATGCATCACCAGCTTTTTCAACAAAATAAGCACCTTTTAAGCACTTAAAAAATATTTTTAATCACTTTCCAAAAAAAAAAAAAAAAATCACAATTATGATCTATGTAATAAAAAAAAATTCTATCGTTTAAAGTTCTCAATTTATAAACATAAAATCAATAAAATTAAAAAACATTTTTAAAAACTTTACATAATCATTATAAAATAACTAGTTTCTGATAAATATTGAAAGAAAACTGAGAAAAATCATGAATTTTTTGCAATTTAGAACGACAATCGACACGGCAAAGAAAAACAAATCTCTTTTTAAAAGAAAGAAAATTAAGCACTCTTTACAAACCCTGAATAAAAAAGCACCTTTAAGGGCTTTTAAAAAACATAAATAAAAAATAAGCACTTTTTTAAAACGCTACACACCCTGATTTATTATTATATACAATGGCGACTCAATAGAACAGCCCTTCTGATGTTCTAAAAATTTAATGCTATGCTTTCTAAAAGGAGATAATAAGAATGTCAAGTTCCAAATTATCTCCTATCTGCAGATTTGAGTACTAAATGCTTTAGCAATTTTATCGACATATTCAAAGGAAGAGGTACACTATTTTTTTTTTATACATTTAGCCCAGTACATCACTGAAGGTTTTAAACAACTCACATTATTTTATGTACACCCAGTGCTTCTTTTAAATTGAGTAAATAATTTTCGCTCTATGAGTCTCAAACATTTCTTTTCTTAGGCTTCAATCAAAAGTGTGTGCAAATTTGATTTAATTGCCCTAAAAAAATAGAAAAGCGATATAACCTCAAGTTACATTCTTTACATAGCTGCCATATTGTCAAACAATTTTCATACAGCAACGTTGGTATAAGTGGCAGACTAATATAATTTGTTTCAATTAGCTGAACGCTAATTTGTTTACTTAATGCATGAACACAATTTTTCATAAAAACTATTCTGTGTAGTGATAAAAATCTATGTGATTGTTAATAAATTATCAATAAAATTACATGATAAGGAAAGCTAATACTTTCTATCCACCATAAGGAATAAATTTTTAGAATTTTTTTTTTTAAAACTTAAGATTGTGTACCCACAATAACATTCAAGGAAATAAAGGACAATTTGAATTTCATTATAAAAAGTAAAATTTATTTTAAGAATAAAGATAAATGTTATTTCATTATACAAGGTGGGTAGGTCATTCAAGGTAGGGCTTCTCAGCCACATTGTTAAATAATCAATCCAGAAGAGCAAGGCATAAATTTTATTGGTATTAATACATTATAGATCATTATTGAGGTATTTTAAAGATGGATAAGTCAAAATAATAAGATGTTTGTAACACTTTGTAATAAATATTTTCACCACCCTTTTAACATCTTTTTCGAAAATGGTAATATCCTTACTACTTGCAATTGTATACTTCCTTAATGTATTTTTTATCAATATAAATGTATAATAATTTTTCTAAAATGTTTAACTGTAATTTTACTTAGTAAAAATATATATATATATATATACTTCCTAATTGACACTGCCATATAAAGGGAATGGCACTTTCACTTATTTAGTCAAATATTTTATATTATAACCGTCGTTGAACAGCCGACCCAATTTCATGGGTTTACGACTACTAACGTTCAACTCTGTAGCCTTGTATTAGTCAAATATTGCACAGATGATGACTAAAATCAATTTATTGTCATATTTGCAATAAATTTAATTACAATTAAATTATTATATTTAATATAACAATCGCACATGATGGGACATAAAATCAAAAGTACTTCTGAACCCTTAAAAAATTCATTCATTTTACTAAATCACCCGAAGATTTAAATTAAATATGTCAATTATTAATAATTGAATATCCACAATTATCATTCATTGAAAATAAGAAAGAATGAGGAAAAAACATTAATTCGTTATAAATAATGAGTAGGATTAATTTATTAAGTCTTAAAATTGCTTTGTTTGAATATATGAATTATGTAATATTCAATGTTCACAATAAATATACAAGGAAATAAAAAGAAATATTAATTTATTACATAAACATAATAAATATAAGCAACAATATTAAGATTAATTCACTATATAAGTCACTTAAAGATTGTTTTGATTTGAATATGGCAGTTATCAGAAATTGAATATCTACAATTAAAATAAAATCAAAAAGAATCTACATTCTCTACAATTAAAATAAATCAAAAGGAAATAAATATGGAGCAATATTAATTCATTCCAGAAAAAAAATCTTGTATAGCTAATACTGTCAGATGTAGAGCTTCTTCTGATTGACTCTCTTGATTGATAGAAGTGAATTCAGAAAATTTCAGAAGCCTAAAATAAATAATAGATTATTTTTCATTGCTTAAAATCTTGAAATAATCTGTCACTAAGCCATTGTATTCTGGTCACATTATATAGAGTACTGAGAGGCATCTGAGTTTTAACTATAGTTTATTCACCAGGAGTTGGCACTTGGCTCCATTTTCATCACATGGTATCTGACAATGCTTTTTTACTATTTTTGGGAGAAAGATGTGAACAATCCTGAACAGGATTACTATTTGGCCATTGTATGACAAAAATATTTATTTCGCCATCCTTATTGGTTATTTTTTAACTTTAAATAATTAAATAATTAATAAATTTGATGACATTTCTCTTATTTGAGTGAACAGTTTGTCCTTTTTGAGATATTTTGCTGCAATATATTTAATTAGCTAGAATAACGAAAGGTATAATAGCAGATCATAAAGTGAAGTAAGTAACTGAAAAAGAATTCACTGTTTACGTTTGGCGTGCATTAAGGGTTGTCTCAATTTCAAGGGTGGAGACTTTTCTCCTCTTATTACAGAGCGGAAATGAACTCTTCATCCGAGGAGGTGGGGCCGCCAACTACTGGTAAACGAACTATACACATGTAATTCAAAATTTGAAAGATAATTATACAAGCAAAGCAAAATAATACATTTTTTTGAGATAAAACTATAGTTTAATGAAAAAAAAGTCATAAATTAAAAACACCAGATTGATATATGTATAAAATATAAAAATAAATATATCTTTTGAATGTTAAATTAGACGAAACATTAAAAGTATTTTTTTCAACAAAAATCTAATTTAACACCATTATCACTTGAAAATGAGTAAATGTTTTAATTGAAACTGTGGTACAAAAACATTAGACAGTGATCGAAAGCTACGGATTAAATAATGATTCCCGTAATTTCAGGGAGATACATACATGATTTAAAACATTAAATTTTGGTATGTGTATCAAACAGGGTGGCCTAAACGGTTTTTTTTTTTTTTTTTTTACTACTTGGGCTTGAAAATTCTATTTTGTTGAATTGATTCTCTAAAATTTCTTTATAACTGTTCACCTTTTTATCTTTTGCAGCAATCTATTTTTATAATTTAGCATCAATAATAATTTAAAGAATTAACAATGTAGGAGAAAAACAGTTTGCAAAAATGTAACAATAGTGCAACATAGGCTCTGCCTTTCAAACAAAGATTCTCTAAAACGAATGAGTGGGATGAAATGCTGAAATAATCTATCATGAGGGTCAAGCTTATCCCCACTTTCAGTTGAAGGTTAACTTCATTATTGTACTTGTATTTATTATTCAACTTAATTATTTTTACTCGTATCTGAGTTTCAAAAATATACGATTTGAGATGTCTAAGTAAAATGATGTTCCATGATAAGCACGTGAATAAAAAAGGAATGCATGAACTACTTTATTCTATATTTAATGCTAATTTTAACAAATTTTAGCTGCTTAATAACTTGATTTATTTATAACTGGGATATTATGAAAGAAGTAATGCGTTTGAAATCATTTCATGCTTTAATTTTATGCAAAAAAGAGATAATTTATTTATTTTTTATATATACCTTTTAAAAATTATTTTAAAGGTTTTTAGGTGTTTATCTTTGTTTTGTGTCGAACAATTTTATGACAAACAAGATTTATTTTATTAAATTATTATTATTTTATTGAATTATTGTAAGGATTTTTAGCTGTTTAATCATGTCTTTTAAGAGTATTTAGGTATTTAAAATTAAATCACAATAAAGCGACCTGATGAGATCTCGATTGTTCCATATGGGACAATTTTGCATCTAATAAGATTATTTTCATCAATTTATTGTTTTGATACCTTATTTTTTATTATATTTAAGTTCTTAATCGCTCTGTTTACATATAATTCAAGTATTTTAAATTGGTATTTATTAACCTAATGCATTAGAGATTGTGTTGCATCTGAATTGTGCATAATTGTAAATGGTACAATTTTGCGTACATTTGAAAAGTTATGATAAAAATTATCAAAATAAATAATGACTGATTTTTTAGTAAGTTCGCATACAGTAACTTATCGTATTTTCAATTATTATTTAAATGATTTTTAAATATTTAAAAACTTATTTTGTATATAACTTGTTATTTAAAACAGGTGCGTTAAATCCACAATTCATCATGCAGTAAAAATTTTTGTGGCACATCCAATGGCACAGCCTTTCAGATAAAAAACTTTACCTTTTTAGTCCAATTTCATTGGTGTGGCCTATATCCCAGGGCAGCGTATCTCCGCAAAATTACGGTATTTTAATCTTAAAAAACATTAAAATAGGAACTTGCAGGGTTCCCACTCTTTCAACAAAGCAAAAATTAAGCACTTTTAAGGAATTTTCTGAAAAATTAAAGACTTTAAAAATAGTGTAATTGTTTATCATTGAATATACATATACCACCAGTGACAGTGCTACTTATTTACCTTCCTAAAAAATTCAATAAATAAAAAAAATACTAAAAAAACAATTTTATTATAATGTAAGCAGAGATATAATTGTATTAATAAACAGGGATCGCCAAAAGATAACCAGGAATTTTTGCAAACCCGGGTCAATTTCTTTTTAAAAATAAGATTTTCAGATTGTTTAAAGTTAATGTCATTCAGATTGTAAAAGTTAACATATGAAACTAATTTGCATTCCCTTTTAAATGATTTCATTTAAATTGAACTGTAAAATTGAGTTCAGAAATAAAGATTTGCAATTTTTTTCAGGTATATTTAAAAAAAAAAAGAGTAAATAAAGAAGTTTGTTTAAAAAATTGAAAAAATTGTTTCATCAGGTTTTTATATTTCGCTACTAGATCAGCAAATGTGTTACATTTACTTTTATGATGAACTTAAACAAAATCATTTCCAGCCAAACCTATTATTAGGAAACTTTACATAATGTAACTAAACATTGCGGCAAAAAAACAAGAACTAATTTCAAAGCAACCAAAAATTTGAACAAAAGTTAAAAACAGTATATTAAGTTGCAATGTTAACTGAATAAAATGATTATTAAAAATCAAAGGATCTTTTAGATGAGTAGATTTAAATTTGTATGTAACAATCTGCTTATCCTTAAGAAATAAAAATAATAGCATAACAATCTAAAACTTCAACAAAAAAAATATATATTTAAAAAAAAAACTTAGTTTTCATCAAAAACCTAATAAACCCCAGGTTTTTGATGAAAAACCTAGGTAGGCAGGTTTCTTCAAACCCTGTTTCTTACAAATCTGTTTGATTTTTAGTACAATCATGTATTTTAAAAAAATTTTATGCTTTCTATGAATTTACAGTTACTTATTACAAATTGAAATATTATTTGGATTTATTTAAATCTTCCTAGATTTTAGGTAATAGTTTTCTAGCTCAAAATTTTTTTGACACTTCTGTTCATGGCGTTTTACTTAATTCCTATAAGCAGATGCGTTACCAGTAGAACTGAACTTCTTGAATTCTGTAATTTTAAAGGTTAGTGTGAGTCTTCTACTTATGTACCTCAAAACTGCCCCCCCACCCCAAAAAAAAAACAACCATCTCTTTTAAGTGCAGTATTCACCTTGTCCACACTGTTCTTTTCTTTTAGAATGCTCCACTCTATTCACACAGAGAATCATTCTTGGCAAAGGGCCGAATACATTAATGAAAAGACCAATATAATAATTAAAGGACTTGTTTTCTTCCCCTTGCCTGAAGCCCTCCCACACACATTACTTTTTGTCTCTCTAAAATGCTTTACCCTCAATGCATGGTCTAATTCTAAGTGATAAAAGAACAACATTTTGTTTTAAAAAATTGTTCATATCAACCATAGTGATTCAGAAAAATTAAGGATTTTTAAAAACCTTGAACCAAAATTAAGTACTTTTAAGGGCCTTTATTTTCCAAAATAAAAACTGAGCAGTTTTTAAGGTACCATGGGAACCCTGACCTGGCATTTAAAGTATAAAAAGTAATTACAATAAATACAAACAGCACTTTTTTTAAAGTGTTTTTAGACGGGGGCATAAAATTTTTCTAAATTAATGAATAAATAAAACAATTGTACGAGATTAGATTTTGGCTAGAAATTTATTTTTTACATTATTTAGAAACAAAATGGGCCTTGATATTATGGTTTTAAAGATGAAAAAGTAGTATAATAATTTCTTTCTGCTTCTCTATTAAATATTAACTTTTTAAACCATTTTTTTAATTTGTGGAATAATAATTTTAAAAAAGTGCCACCTTAAAAAGAAAAAAATTCAAATTTATAGCATTTTAGAAGGCAGGGTCATTAAGAATTAAATAAAATAATTGATAATTTGTAGCAGAAAAACCTTGAGTTCCCTAATATTGTTGAACTCCTAAGTATTTTTAAAAAGTATACTGCATTAGAATTTGGAAATAAAATCTCTGTAAATTATTTATAATTGGAGGTGCCAATACGTAAGGTTGCTTTCAGTAAGATTGGGAACTCTTCCTGTGATTACCAGAAAAGGTAGCAGACATATTAAATTTTTTCAATACTATAAGGTATTAAAAATATGTTGTTTGGTAATCTTCTCATTAATGCATTTTTAACTGAAAAGTATAAGTAATCCCATGATGTTAACATACTTAATACATGCAGTCTGTTTATTATTTTTTTAGAAATAAATGCCAAAAACTGAAAGTTAGGTGGCTTATGCCCATATAAAGTACAATTAATAGTTATTCATTTTATAAAAGAGTATTGAACACAATCGTGAGGAGTCTAAATCCTTATACGGTCAAAATCTCAGCATAATAAAATCCTAACAAACTAAAATTCTGACGTTATCAGATACCTATCATATTATTTTAATACTTTATTACACATTTTTTATTTGGGCTAACTAACTTTAGTAATTGGATATCTGAAGATTGATAACAGCGTGGTTTGCAGTTGTCTTGATATTTAAGGCTTGCAGTTGTTGATATTTCCGATTTTTTTTTAATGTCTAAAACATTCCATTTTCTAC